GTAAGTCCGGACACGTCTCGTTGTTCGACGAGTGACCATGCGGCATGGTGATTCGAACGCGGACCCTCCTGCTGGGGAGGCTCTCGCTTCGCGTATTCGCAATGTAAGACGTCCTTAGCTCTCTTTTGGGGGCGGGGCGCAGGGCGATCCGACTCATTGTAGGATGATCCAACTTTGGATCATTATTCCTCATGTGAAAACGGCGAGCATCGAGATCTGCGAGGCTCCTGATTTGTGCGAGCATTGTACGCGTCGCGTCACCCTCGAGTCAGTGCCTTCTGTACTGACACGCCTTTGTTTCTTAGTTTCGAAGAATCAGAGCCTTCTGCTCTGATTCATTTCGGTCCCCGTGGATCAGAGACTTTTTCTTTGATCCACTTTGGTCCGCAATAGTACTTGGCATATGCGGATGAGTGCGTGTGTGGGAGTGTGTGATAGCTAGCTAGCGAGCGAGTGTATTAGTTTATAAGTCGTCGTTGTAAGAAAGGAAGTCATAGCGAATTCCGGCTTCGTTCTGACTCCCTTTCGGGTCTCTAAAGCAGCAACCTCCTCGCGGTGAGACTCGGGCAATCGGTATCATCCTCGGTTCAGAAAATCTTGCGAATTGCAATGAATTTCTGAGTCGAGGATGATACCGAGCTAATAGCTGCAAACTTTGAATTCCTCTTAGTATTGTAAAGTAGAGAACAAGGCTGTAACAATCGTATTGTATGATTTTTAAATAAAGTGTGGGGATTTATGCATTTTCTTTTCCTTACTCTTTTTTAATCATAAGTGATGTTATATAATATTAATTTATACGAATTTAATCGTGTTATTTTCACTTCTAGATTAGTTTACAACATCGTTGCTTCATCGTTGCTCAGATAGTCACTAGGCGTCTTAAAACGTTTTTTGGATATTTCTCGAAAAAGGATAAATGATCAATGAAAACTGCATAATTGGTGAGCAATTACGAGCAATTAAAGAGCAATTTTTTGAGCTATGTTTCATTCATATTGATTAATTTTGTCAGCCAGCTTTGTCTGTACGGATTCTAAGGCTGTGTTTCTAATACGCTTTTCTTACTCTCTAAGTTGGCGCGCATATCCCCACCATTTCATTGTGTTTTGACCCTCCTTAACTGAGCAAGCTGCGGCCCGGTCTTAACCAATCACTATATGATCGCTGTTACTTCACGCTTCTGCCTACAGATGGCCCAGTCTCGAGCTCCTATCTCGCAGCTGAAATAGTGCAGCGTATACTTGATATAGCATCGCCGCAGCCAGATAAATTAAGATCATACTTCACAGGATCAGTTCTGTAGTTGATCAGTTTTTTCTCTCTGTTCAAACTGAGAGTCGATGTAACCATGATGAGGAGTTATAACTCCCTTCCCTGAGCGTGAGGAAGACTCGAAGAGTTGTCTTTGTACAATTCTTCAGTCATCGATGATCGTTCGTCCTTTGTACTCAGTGCAAAGGAGATGGGAAGAGGAGTTTTCTGAGTGGTTTTTTTTTTATTTAATTCCCAAACACAAGTAGTATATTTTGCAGCTACAATATTCCTATTGTTTATAATCTTTCGGAAATCATTTGAAATTAAAATTTCACGCTCGTATACAACTGAAAAGTTTTTGTAAATATCATCATCATGCATTTACGAAACTAATCGACGTTAAAAAATATTGTAATCGTAACAATTTACCATAATATCCATGTGAAGAGATATATGACAGACTTACATGTTATCTATTTTTTCGAGAAAATCATTTTGCGTCGATAAAACATAAGCTTACATTAACAATATACATGATAAATCGTATACACATATCATCTTTCTATAAAGGACACTTGAAGTTTGCCGGGAAAACGTTATATAGAATATATTTTAGTCATAATGGAAAATCAAACATTGAACAAAATGTGACTATAATTTAATCGGTAGATCAATAAATAATATCTTGCAAAGTTGCGATTAAGAACCATCTCACACGAGCCACACTAATCGATATATTGATTCACGTAGATATATTATAAGTACATAACTTATACAAGTACTAACAACTTGATCAAATAAATATATAATTATAAATATTTAAAGAATAAAATTATAAAACACGACTTCTTTCTGTGACAATATTGACGCCTATGTTCTTTCACTCACAGGAGACCCGTCGAAATGACGAGTACCAGATTTTTTTAATTTGCGATTGTCGAGACTTTAAAAATTCTTGATTAAGCCAAGAAAGGCGCGTTACTACGTATCCTGCTGGATTTTCGAGTATAAGTACATATATACTAGTAAGAAACGCTTTTTCTTTACTAAATCCCACGCACCCCTGAATATACATACACATATACGTAGTATATATATATATCTTGAAAATAAAACTGCTGTAATACTTTTGACTACTCTTCCTTTTGTTAACCGGACATTTCTTGTACGCAGTGACTTATATTAATTGCGACGGTCAATAATACTTCGGTTATTAAATCACGATTCGTTTAGTTGCCGGTGAAAACATCTCTCGTATGCAAGTAAAATACAATAATAAGTATATATTAAGTATATTACTGCGACAATAATATACGATTAATAATTTGTACAGTTCACAGTGCTGTCAGTCCATTACGACAAAGTGGTCACTATTGTGTGTCGTACTATGTTCGATTCTAAAGATATCTCGCTGAAATTGTTACGCAGATTTCGTACGAAATACGTGTACGAAACGTCAATTACGTGTACGTGAATTAATTGTACGCCAAAGAGGCCGCGAGATTTCCTATTTATAGGAAACTGCTACACACTTCCCGTTATAGCGTCGCAATCGTGTCTGTGGTTATCTCATGCAGAGTTGAGCAAAATTTTATTCGGATGACGGATAAGAGATAAAAAGACAATACAAGATAGCGTGACGAGGTTATCGATAAAAGCCAATATACAGTCAGAAATCTCAGTTCCCTGTTAACGGTTCATCATAGTATGTAAACGGCTTTTCTAATTGCTCGCGAAAAATCCTTCGAAATAAAAAATATCTCTCTTTTATCCTAAAAATATTTTCCATATATTCTAATTGCTGCTCGAAATAAGAAACATTATCGATAGGAATACGTCATTATCGTCGCGAATTACGTTTCAACTATATAGAATAACCGACGCTTATAAATAAAACATTTTTACTCATAGAAAACAGTTTTCTTTGTCGTCGTTACATCACAGATATATGTGAGACTGTGACGGATACGGTTGTACAATCTTTTTTTATAAATTCTCGATTACTTATCGCGATGGTAAAACAGTATTTAAAAGGAGCCATACAAAGGATGCGATTACTTAATCTTTTTACGATCTGAATTGATCGTTTGCTTGTCCATTTTCTCCTTGCAGTTGCCATTGGAACCGTCATCTTGTATCTCTGTGATATTAAGAAGATCCTTCTCATCCTTGTCGAATTCATCTAAGTAATCGCTCATGTCCAACGGGTCTTTATTTTCGTGCACTTTGTTTAATTCTCTTTTCAACATCTCCAGGCATTCTCTTCGTTCTTTCCATTGCTCTGCCAGCGCCGGGTCCATCGGCGTATCATCCCCCCGCAACTTCTGCTCCGCCATTTCGCGTTGCTCGCACTCTATTATATATTTCTCGTAGCCTTCGACCTAAAATCACATTAACATTTCAGATATTCTATATATAAAATATAATATAATGTAATATAATATAATATAATATAATATAATATAATATAATATAATATAATATAATATAATATAATATAATATATATTATTATATATCTCAGATATGGTAAATTGAAGCAAACTTGTACGCAGCGAGTAACAATAATATTCGGACACCTATTAAAACGCGATACAATAAATTCTCCCTAACGAGGGTGGCTCGAATAATCGAACCTCCTCTTCCCAAATTATCCATTTTAGGGTACAAGCTGAGCGTTGATCAGGGAGAATTGATCGTAATATGTTTGATATAACGGAAACAATAAGCGCGAGTGGAATGAAAAATTGCGAAATAAGGCAAACTGATTGATCAAATAAACGTCGTACCTTTTCTCGTAGCACTCGCCGCATGTCGGTTTGCCTCTTCAATTGACGCGGCAAACAGAAGCACGCCTGGATCAGTCTCAATAATATCCAAACGGCAGCAGCAAGAGCCACGTAGGTCCACGTAGTGTACACCATACTTACAAAGTCGACCGAGATCTGTTGATGCTTCATATTGGCAATGCGTTAGTTTCAACGAAGTCTGTAATCAAGAGAACGTACAAAATTATGCGAAACTATGAAATCACTTAGCTTTCAGCGATACGTTAATAACGAGGGTGAAAAGTACGGTTTTCTGTAATTCTCTTTACAAATTGTTCGGATTATTCTTGTAAAAGATACCATTTTTTCGAACAAACAGCTTTCGCTTCTTTCAGATTGTTTATTATAATTCCTAAACATTTGGATCCTATTCGAACGAAACAAATTCCTCTACATTTTGGTATACAGGGTGTAATTATGTATTATAGAGTGTAATTATGTATTACAGGGTGTAATTATGTATTACAGGGTATAATTATGTATTACAGGGTATAATTATGTTAACAACTGAGAAGGGATGATTCCTCGGGTCATTCGAAGCAATTTTTTCCTTAGCTCTTTTTCAATATTCGCCGATTGTCTATAAAAACGAGCCGCGTATCTCATCTTCCCAAAATTGTCCATTTTTCTTTAGAAGCTGCGAGACAATTCCGGAAGAATTTTTACTGTATCGCGAGAAATGAGCTTCGTGGTATTGGAAAACGCGTTGCAACAACGCGGCAGGATAGAACAGTTCCGGTAGCGATGTGTATGTCATTGGTAATCGAGTTATTCAATGACACTTTTGAGCCGTGACAAACGTCAGGGACAAAGGCTAGCCTAAGTTGGGGGAAACAGGAGGTACGTCTCGTAATTGTTGTATGCTATACATGCTATATAGACATCGATCAAATTCCTACCAACAGTCTTATAGAATGTGGGTTCCTGTTGTTTTAGCAGTGCCCGAATAGAAGCACCATTGTGTTTGAAACGAACAAAAAAATGTTAGCCTTGTTACATTGACTTCACGAGTGCAGGGTAGTCTGGTAACTGGACGTAGTAGTCGCATCGATTGTTAAAGAAAACTCTTGAAATTGTTCCGCAAATTTCTCAAGTTGTTTCTCCTGTGTAAAAATTCTGAACGATGCTTGTGTATCGTGCCTGTCCATCTGCCCTCCCCTCCCATAAACCGTACGCGTCAACCCCCTTGTAATGTCATCACCTTCGACACAGCTCTGTGCAGCTTTCATTCTCTCTTATTTTAGATCATTCATTAATCATGATCATTCTATCATACATTAAAAAGAGATAAAAGCAAGTTACATTTACATATAAGTAAACTATGCAATCAATACCATCATTATTTTTAACGTACATTACACTGTGTAATGTACTTAATCGTTATTTTAAAGTTGCTTTGCAACGATTGATGCTCTTAAATAAAATAATATTGTACAGTAAATGTAGTTGAAATAAATAGTTAATAGTAATCGTTATTTTAGAGTTGCTTTGCAACAATTGATGCTCTTAAATAAAATAATATTATACAGTAAATATAGTTGAAATATAGAGTTAATAGTAATCGTTATTTTAGAGTTGCTTAGCAACAATTGTTGCTCTTAAATAAAATAATATTGTACAGTAAATGTAGTTGAAATAAATAGTTAATAGTAATCGTTATTTTAGAGTTGCTTTGCAACAATTGATGCTCTTAAATAAAATAATATTATACAGTAAATATAGTTGAAATATAGAGTTAATAGTAATCGTTATTTTAGAGTTGCTTAGCAACAATTGTTGCTCTTAAATAAAATAATATTGTACAGTAAATGTAGTTGAAATAAATAGTTAATAGTAATCGTTATTTTAGAGTTGCTTAGCAACAATTGATGCTAGTAAATAAAATAATATTATACGGTAAATGTAGTTGAAAAAATAGTATATGACGAGTATATAAAGTACAAAGTACAAATAAAGTATAAGTAAAATATAAAGTGGAAACGAATAATTTGGAATACGCTTCGAAATATTTTTAACGTGCTTCGACATGCTTTAACATGACAATGTAAGAACACGTAGTAAATGTCAATAACTTTGTGAGACCCATTATTCGCTGACAATACACCGTCACTGTATCGATTCGATTTGCTCACGGCGAAAGATGTGCATTATACATTGTGAAGATATCGTATTTAATATCGTGCAATTGTGACAATCGGTGTCTCGTCTCGAGGAACATAAAGTGCCTCGTGACACATAAATTTCACGTGTGAACATTAGCGAAATTATAATCTTTCACTCACCATATTCGAACACAAATTGATGTTAGATTCTTATCGAGGACTAAATGGCAGAAATGCGGTATACTCGGTTTTTATGTAAAGAAAGAAAAGGTATTACTTTTAAACGACAATGTTTACAAAACGATGCAATAAATATTACATACGATCAAGAGTGACACTATTTTCTCGAACAAACACGATAGAGTAGAATAGAGAGAATTTGTTTAATTATTTTTGGAACGACAGAAACGTTACAACGCTCGATATGGAAAAATACATTTCTCTTGACCAAATACTAGGAGATTATTAGTTCATTTGTTATATATCCATTAACAAATACATTTGTGAGAATTGATTCTTCTTATCATCTTTTACGTTTTATCCAAGCATGATTAAACAAAATTAATGTTAACACACGAAATAACTAACGGATAAGTGATGGAAAAATTAAATATTTTCACGTCGTAATGTAATAATCGTATAAGAATAAAAAATAAGGGGAAGGACTTATCAGAGTCGCAAAACATGACAGCGATTGCTGTAGAAAATCGATTTCACTCGCAACTACGCTTCTAAAATCCTTCTTCCACGATGATCGAACGTGCACACGTGTCGTAAACAAAAGTTCGAGAATGTTTGAAAGTTTCAACGTTAATTCATTATTTTCTGATTAATGTCAACATCGATTTTGCAATTTTTACACGTCCGAGCCAGATAACCGACGACGCGAAATACGCTGAAACGACAACACGATCCACGGAATATACAGGAAAAATAAATGCGAGGCCGAGTACAAGAATTGAAATTGAAAATGCGCAATTATTTCGATATTTTCGATATTCGTAGCGCGGAAAATTGAATTTAAACCGATAGCTGCAGCGTGCCCGAATCGACCGTGTCGTTCCTCTTCCGTGCCGAACTTACCTTTACTTTCTTTTTTTTTAAAAGATTACCGGCGCGATCATATTCACAAGAAAGGAAATAATCCAGCGACCGGAGGAAACGAAGCGTTGTGGCGCGAGTAGTAAAGTAGAAGAAACTGTAATATGTCAAGCTGGCATGCGAGGGAAAACTATCCACTACTGACCCCTATCGCGAAAGAATCGATATATGTATATAGTCAGGTATGATCAAGCTGACATCCTGACATCCGACGAATATTTTAACATATAGACAGGACCCCTCCGAAGAATAAATAATTTCGTACCGCGAGTCTTGCTCCACTGTTCCAAATATATATATATATATGTATATGTATATGTATCCCTTATCACGATCGCATTTCGAGACTATATTTAAAACGTTCGTAGCCGTAGCGAGAGCGTTATGAAATATTCGTTGGCAATTCCACTTATTGTTCTAGCGACGAACTAAGCGCAATTACGTGTAAACTTGAATGTGTACACACATTTGTAGAAAATAATCGATAACGTGTCTGTTTAGAAATAAAAGTAGATGGTTCGAGTGCATAAGTATTGTTGCCGGCGGAAGATTCAGCGTGCACGTGTCATTATGAAATGACAAATATTTAAGGGATGATTCTGCCGGCCGCCGCAATTATAAGGCGGCAATCAAGAGCTCTTCGAGCTCGAGTTGCTCTTCGATCTGTGCACAGTGGCTCGCGAGAGCGTTCGTACACCGTCAGAAACGCAATAACTTTTTTAAAATTGAAGCGGAATCCTTTTTTTAGATGACAGAGGGACTAGTCTATTAAACAATGACTACGATGCTCTCTTTAATTTTGCTATTATTCGAGGCGACAGAACAAAGATAAAAAGCTCTCATTTTTTAACTTCTATCAGACAATGACTACGATGCTCTCTTTAATTTTGCTATTATTCGAGGCGACAGAACAAAGATAAAAAGCTCTCATTTTTTAACTTCTATCAGACAATGACTACGATGCTCTCTTTAATTTTGCTATTATTCGAGGCGACAGAACAAAGATAAGAAGCTCTCATTTTTTAACTTTTCTTGTCCGAGACTGTAAACGAAAATTTAAAAAATGCCTGTCGTATATCTTGGCAACTCCTATGCGTGTCTGACCATGATATACTATACTTCTCGTCGTACTACAAGCCGCGAGCCAGTTTTATTGCGTTACCGATGGTATCGCGATAAGAACAGCTTTTTTCGAATTGCCTCGTTTTATCCACGAGCATCGAAACAACGTTTCTATAATTTTGGTGCTCGTGCTATTGCTGATAAAATTAAAAGTTACGTTATAGTAAAATAAATAAATATATAAAGTAAAATTATGAGTATAACAATGCATCCTGAACTATAATTTTATTAACTGAGGTAATTTTAAAGGTCGAAAGTCTTCCGAATTGAGAAAGAGAGAGAAAGAGAGAGATTTCAGGTAATCAATTTTTCAGCCCTTAAAATTAGCTAGGCTCGCTAATCGCAATAAGAAGCTCGTATATGCTTAAAATTGATTTATTAATTACGACAAAATAGCTATTCGTGATTTATGCTGTCTTGCTAGTTTCCTTACAACTTCGAACCGATTCTTGTACAACAGAACGTCCGCGGATAATGGCGTTCCAGGACCTACCCCCTGAAACTGTCGATAGCAGCGAAACTTATAACGTATATTACAGACACTGTTTACATTAAATACAGTAACTATAAAGCATAGTGTGTGTGCTACATTAAACATTCTCAGTGTACCGAGAATATTATACAACATATATTGTATAACTTATGATATTATATATATATGTATAATGTTGAATATAATTGCTGTTAAAATGTTATATAATGTTATATGTATAATAATATCATGTAACATATACATGTACATCGTATAACATTTTCCCTTCGTCTCTGGGAGAAAATGAAGCGCTTAAAAATACGATACTCGTTCTATATTTTATAATATTATGTACAATCTCGAAGATCGAAAGTATAATAAGTTGATACGTCTCGATTAAAGTCTTATTATTATTACTATACGTTTTTTGCAACGCGGAGATCTTCCATACGCGCATGTTTACGAAGTGTATCGAACGTCTGAGATAACAGAACAGAAAGATCGTCGGGATTATTTTCTCTGGGAAGTGGGAGATGGCGAACGAACGAAACTTACGAATACGAGTCGAACACCCTTCGACCCACCCTTACCATGTTTGAGTCGTGTAAATTTTCGGTTCCTCTCGTTTCAGTCCGCGGCGGATGTTCGAGACCAATAATGACGGCGTTCCATTGTTAAACAACCGCGAATGGGTTTGATTATACAAGAATGTACAATTCGTAAAATATATATGACAACTGTACGAGTCATCTATGAAGCTTTTCATTATGTTACAGTACAGTGGCTATTGCGTACGTCGTATCTAGAAAGTAGGATTGCTACATTGATTTCTCATGCTACATATAGCTTTGCTTTTCTTTCGAAAGGCTCTTCGTTGTGCACCTCCGTCCCGAGTATTTGATAATAATGATCGGCTCTCGAGTACCGTAAATGTTCGACGATCGAATCGAAAGAAATTCGAAGAATTCATTTCCCATTGAAATATAAGATGCGCGTCGACGATATGAAAATTTAAGTTTCGGTCACGTTTTTACAGTATAAATAACTATAGTTCACTTGCTGGAACAGCGTCGTTGCGTGTGCTTCTACCGATCTGACTTATGTGCGTTGCTAATGGCCGATCAAAGATTTGTTACTGACTAAAAAAAAAAACGGAGCCGAAACCGTATCTTTTCTAATCTCGGCGCATCTTAGATCGCTATGAAGAATAACTCCCTGAAATTTCTTTCGTTGCACGTTCAGAATCGAGTGGGGTTTTAATAACATGTAATCGCATGTAAGAGGAAGAACCAGTGACATGAAACGAACTATTGGACTATAGATTGAACTATTTGATAGTTTCAAATGTTTTTGTTGTATCACAAAAATATTCTCTTAAGAATATGTAAAAGAAAATTATTCGAAACTCGAATTGTTCGTTTGATCTTCGACGGCCTCCCATGCCACTGATCGCCGCAACTACAAAACTCAATTAGTTTCGTATGAAATTGTAGAAAACATTACTTTTATATATATGTACATTTTACCAATAAAGACATCATAAATAACAGCTTACAATGTGTCAAAAGAAAGTTCTAAAATGTTCTGTTTTGACCGTAACACCGATTTCCTGGCTTAAACTAAAGCTCGAATGTGCTCTTAAAATTTATTTACAACTATATCTCTGAAATATAGATGTCTCGAAACGAAATATGTAGCATGTAGGAAATGAAGGTACAAAAACCGAGGTAAAGAAAAATATCTTTAATGTTGGATAAAATATAAGATGAATAGTTCGATGATTCAATAATATAATTTCTCTTTGTTCTTCGTTTTCGAAGTTCTCATAAATTAAAGTTAATACAAAATAATACATATACGAAATAGTGTGAGCGATGGATATGTAAAATGATAAAAATATAATATGTAAACTCGCAAAACCATTACACGCGCAACCACTCTCGTTCTTTTGTTAAAATTCAAGAATGTCTATGAGTTATGAATAACAAGGTAATTAAATGAAGAATACACACGTTTATTTTTACAGAAATAACTTAAAAATAAAATACTCCACGCCCCAACTAACGTTAATCATATAAATACAAATTGACATTTGATGGTATCCCATAGCTAGAATGTGAGTAGCATCGTCGTTTAGACTTCAAGAATTTATTGCTTATTACTTAACTACCGAATTCAAAATTTTAAATGTGATTGCAGTACATCACTTATTTTCTACGAAATTATACACACCCTAAGCTCGGTAGAGTACGTACAAGGTAATTTGGAATGTGTGTAACATCACAGGAGCAGTTAGTTATTAATGAGGAAACAGAGGCCTAGTGATACTTTACTTTTGAATACTTTATATGTTAAAAGAATTTCATGCCATGGATCTTACATAAAACAAGAGATATGGAGTTGCGGAATTTCGCGGATTCGGTGCTAATTTTCCTTCCAACTCTCTTAAGGGTATCACATGCACTGCCTCATCATCGCATTCCAACCAAGTGCTAGGATATTTATGACGCCTGACGCCACAACAATCCATACTGCGGCAACCGACCCTGAACAACTGCTCCTTAGACTCGCTAGCGCTTGGTTTACTTCGGAAGTATCTTAATATGCCAGATGCTTTGTCTGACGATGATGTATTCGTGTTTGTGCTGCTACTGCTATGACTGGAAGTCTGTCTCTTACTATCCCTGTCGCATTGGAAGTATTCTGTAAACGCAGACTCGTCGGGTAGGCGCGTATAAGCAATATAGTGACCAGCTGTCATGGTTGCACCTTGATGCATAATTACAGAATAAAGTTTGTACACGTGTCGAGACTCTGACCTACCACCTGTACCGCGTGTCTGATCATTGTTACACTCTTCGCAGAAGCATTGTAAGGTCAATGGCGTCGGCATATGATTATTAATTTTTTCCATTGATCTAGAAAATTGGAGAAATTTTCAATGATTTTGTACACAGGTTTGGCAACAAATATATGCGATAACTTAAAATTCCTTAAATATCAGCTGTTCCCGAACACCCTGTACGGAACATCTTTATACATAACAAGACATGTTATCTCACCCTGCTGCGGTAGAAAATCGTTTTAACTGCAATATGAGTAGCCTTGGTAACGACGGGAAGCATACCGCTCTTCTAGCTTCGTTGTATCGAAGACATCGAGCACACCAATACTTATCTCTACCCCAGAGAAGTTCGCTGGTAACTACTGCACGTTTGTACACTTCGCTGCTATCCATTGATCTAACGTCTTCATCTACAAATAAATACGCTTACACTATATTAATTTAATGTATAGTTAAATCTCATTGATACCACATACCAGTTTCGTTTGATCGGTCAATGTCGATAGGCACACAGATATCACAAAATGTTTCCTTTCGTTCTGTAACATGTTCACATTCGAGGCATGTAGTACGCAAAAGACTGACACCTTCGAAGTCTTCGGAAATGAAACATTTCTTGCTTTCTGGCCTGTGACTGTTTATATCTCCGTTACTTTCCAGATACTCAGAATGACCATTTTCATACGGTCTAGAAGACACTGATATGCCATTCAAATTAGACTGTACAAGGCAAGATGAACTTCCTCTTGTTGTTATTTTCTTCTTTTTCCTAGATTTACAAATGCTTCTCTTTGTGGTGTTGGTACATTCTGATTGCATGTCCGATGAATGTTCTGCAGAAAAATCTGACAATCCATTATTTTGACCAAATTGGCTTTCTCTGTGTCGAACCAATAATTGAAATGTTTCTCTGATATTATCCAATAAACACACCAAAAGTTCATGAGCATCTTGCTGTTGATTCCCTTCAAAGATAGGATTCACCTCTCTAAAATAGAAAGAAAGCAACATTTTCAATACTTGCATGTAAAACTTCATATAACAGCTTCTTGACAATCCTTTACATACCTTAGTGCTTGTAAAAATGCATCTGGCTGATATGGTTCACTATTTTCTCTTGTTTCAGATGCACGTAATGCTATAAACAATTCATGTAGTTTTTCTGTAGCTATTTGTATTCTGTGTTTATTGTTGTCTCCAGTTGGTCCGGTCAAAGCTAATAAATCTTTACTACTCCAACTACGATTACCACTTGACATAAGCGACATGCCAGTTCTTCCCAAAGATGATGATTTTATCTATCATAAAATATTGCAGTTTATTTCCATATGCAAAGTCATTTACATTGCTGTATAGTGACATTTTTTTATTCTTGTTAATTTCATTTGTGGACTTACTTTCGTTTGAAATTGCTTTTCATTTAAATTAGATAAATCAGTGGCTAAATGATGCAAATTATGTAGAAATGATGGTGCAAATCGTAAAGTATATATCACACTATTCAAAAAACATGTATTTCCTAAATTACATAAAGTGGCTATTCTTAAACCCTCTGTGCCACCATTTGACACATTGTATCCTCCATCTTGATGATTATTTATTTGATTACGATAACCATTCAACATTTTGCTTGTACCTTAGTAACGGATACTCATTAAATTCTATACATTTAATAAATGTATAAAGTTATTTAATATGAGAAAGTATTAATGTTTACATACTGTATGTAAAAGTTTCTCTATTCAGAAGGCTCTCTCTAGCTGATGTGTGAGGAACCTGAGAGATGTTAATAGAAACTGCACGTTCACGGCCAGAAAGGGATAAGCACAATTTCTTTCTTGGAGGAACCGAACGTTTATCCGCGTCTTTTTCTGTTTCTAATACTGTCATTTTCTGTTAACCTAAATAATAATAAATTACAAATATTATGTATTCAAGTGAAACAAAAATGATTCGTTTAGAATAAAAAATATAGTTCTTATTTGTTGTGTAATGAAAGAATATGGTAAGTTACACATTATTCGCATAATTTATTTTCCAAATTTAATAAATTCGTGAAATGTTTAAGACAGTACAAACTCAGTGTAAGCATAGAACACAATTTGTATTACTCATAATTTTACTTGTAATACAAAACAATACTTTTTATACTTGAATCTTAGTTAAATAGATTTGAAATTTTTATGAACATCATATAAATAAATTCTCCAACCTTTCTAATAATTATTTCTTTTGCATAGAATCCATTATACAATTTTGATTTCCAAGATTCATCTTGTGAAAGATTTGATTCCTTTCAACATTAAAGTATCTTTTCACAACTTGTATGTACTCGTTTCAAGGTTCGATGCTATCTTGTATGGAATGACCGCTTTTCAAATATAATCATTGTAACACTATTGCCTTTAATCGAAATCTTAGTAATCGAAACCCATGAAATGAAACTAAAAAATAACTACAAATGTAAACATATTGTTTCTGTCAAAGAGCATCATACATACGAGCATAGTTTTATAGGATTAAAGAGAACTGTCACTTAAAAAGTTAAGGAAAAGTGTTTACAGTATAATCAAAAATACATTACTTACACTGAGTTTGTCAATCATGTATTATATGCTGTAATAAATAATCGTTTCCACGAAACTTGTTAAAACTTGTTCGGTATTACTTATTACACATATGACTTCACAGAAACTTATATCGGAGCTAAATAGATTTCAATAACATTGTTTCATGATGATTTTATTAATAAGATTCTATCAATTACGTACAGATATCAACTCGTATAAAGTATTCAATTTATACTACATAAATATAAAAATTGAAAACTCTTTACTCACGTATTACTCAGTGGGGAAGTCATGGAATAAATGAGCTTTTTATTAACCTCAGTTAATCAAGAAAAATCTGTATGTACAATTAAGCCTCAAAATCGTTTTTTGAATAACATCAGCTACATTTCTACTGATGTCACACGAAACAGGGTTTTTTTAACAATATTACAGTAGCCATTACATACTCGTTTCACCTAATATCATGTATTCATGAGTTCATGAGCAATCCACAATTTCACATACTGTACATCTACTTTTTACTACACCGTTTACCCTGTCATTATGCATTACCTAGCAGTGAAATGTTATAAGCCCTTACACTTAAAAATGCAATGTACGTTGTGGCTATGGCTATTCCAGATTTATCTACATATGTTGTACGTTGTATAATACCGTAATGTACGGAAAATGATATGCATTCCCATCTATGACACGAGATTCTGTGGCACAAACCCATCAAAATCCCCTAATTCCACCGAAAAATGTACAACATTACATATTAAAAATCGCCAGGCTTTCGTGAAAGTCCCTAGCTGCCTAAAGAAGTTTTTAGCTTCGCATAGATGTCAGGTCAGGAGTCAAACGTTTACATTTGTGCATTGGCTAACCTGGTATTTTAAAACCGTTTAAATGTTTAACGGGCAGAACAAAAAATCAAGTGCAACAAAGGATTAACATTGTGTAATGGAGTCATATAATTTTGACAAGTTCATTACTCAAGCTCGTCAGCTCGATACAGGCATCGAAAGTTTAGAAAACGTGTGGAGCAATCCTGAAATTTGTATCGGAAAATTTACAGAGCGTAGCGTAGAAACAGATGTTCATATTGAAGCATTAAGGAACAGTATGCGAACTGTAAAAGTATGATAGTGTAATAAATTATTTAAAATAATTAGTTGACTAATTTTTAAATTCTTATGTACTATCTATGTACTATAACTATGTAATATTATTATATTAGGAAGGAATAAAGGCAACAAGTTTGGAAGTAGATAAACATATAGAAAATTCATGTACAGAACATGTTCTTGAAGAAACTAGGACGAAGTACGAGTCATTGAAAGAACAATGCGACAATATAGAACTCATTTTCGAAAAATATGGTTACCAATATGATAAGGACCGGACAGACCAGTAAGCATCAACATCGCTATTTTTTTCTTTATACATTTCTGAGTTATATGTAACGCTGACATGATTTTCTAGGAAAAGTGCAAATAGCATTGAACTGTCTGAGCAAGAGACTTCTCAAGAAGCAACGGAAACTGTAGAAGTTGAATTCACACCAAATCTTAGTTGGAAATATAAAACAACATGCAAGGATCAGTCAACTTTAGCATCGAACATAAGTGACACATCGCATCTAAGTACAACACCAGTTTTAGAAAATAATTCTCCATCGCGTATAGATTATTTATCTTCACCGATATCATTTTTATCTACACCAATATCATTTTTATCCACACCGATTAGAGAACGTCCAGAAGAACCAATTTATTCCAAACATTTCTATAATTCCTTGAAAAAGTGAATATTAGATCATATATTATAAGAACTATATTTTTTAAATTATGAATTTTACATTCTTCTACAAAGTTATACAAAAAAATAATAACTACAATTATGTAATTTATATTACAAAATACTCACATTATATTAAATATATGGTAAAGATCAACTAATAAAGATTAGTGTTAGTGTGCTTTCGTTTGTTAGTATCATCTAACTTGTATATTGCTAGCACCAAGGTGTTTTCCTACTATCATCTCATGCTGCATTCAATATTAGGTTTCTAGCCGTAACACGTAGTGGCACTAATGTGGGAAACTGTTATTATAAAGATATAATTTTTATAACGATGAAATTGTGTATATAAAATTTTATTTATAGATTTTATACAAATATCCGTCAACACTTTAACAGAATAAATAAAAGCTTCTAATTAAATAAACAACAATCTTATTGCAATTATTGGACTTAATGATACAGGGATTTAGAAATAATTGAAAAAATGTATAAATGAATCATTGAAATCATTTTGTTTCTTGTGAAAAATAAGTTGAACATTTCCGTGTTTTATAGACCCATGACTGATATGTACACTGTAATGGGACCTACTCCTGCACACTTTTCTGACTTCCTAAGCTGGCACGAACATCCCCGCCATTTTACTACACATTCCATCTGCAGTGGATCCTGTTTGAGTAGTGAATCATCAGCCAATCAAAGCAAAGAAAATTTCTACACCGACCTTTGCTAATGAATCAAGCTGCAGTCTGGTGGTGTACTTGAGTAAGTCTCATTACTGTACTATAACGGATTGAAAAAATGCACGATAACCTATACTTGTCAAATGAATTCTATTATTAATAAATAATATAGAAGTGGTGAAATTGGTGATTAAATTAGTACAGAATAATGGGTTCGTAATTTAACATCTTAATTATTACATCTTCACTATTACTTGCACAATTAAATGGTTTATGCGAATATTATCCAATTTGACAAGTGTTATCACAATGACAGAAAGCTAAAAAACGATTATCTCTCTTTCAAANTTGACAAGTTCATTACTCAAGCTCGTCAGCTCGATACAGGCATCGAAAGTTTAGAAAACGTGTGGAGCAATCCTGAAATTTGTATCGGAAAATTTACAGAGCGTAGCGTAGAAACAGATGTTCATATTGAAGCATTAAGGAACAGTATGCGAACTGTAAAAGTATGATAGTGTAATAAATTATTTAAAATAATTAGTTGACTAATTTTTAAATTCTTATGTACTATCTATGTACTATAACTATGTAATATTATTATATTAGGAAGGAATAAAGGCAACAAGTTTGGAAGTAGATAAACATATAGAAAATTCATGTACAGAACATGTTCTTGAAGAAACTAGGACGAAGTACGAGTCATTGAAAGAACAATGCGACAATATAGAACTCATTTTCGAAAAATATGGTTACCAATATGATAAGGACCGGACAGACCAGTAAGCATCAACATCGCTATTTTTTTCTTTATACATTTCTGAGTTATATGTAACGCTGACATGATTTTCTAGGAAAAGTGCAAATAGCATTGAACTGTCTGAGCAAGAGACTTCTCAAGAAGCAACGGAAACTGTAGAAGTTGAATTCACACCAAATCTTAGTTGGAAATATAAAACAACATGCAAGGATCAGTCAACTTTAGCATCGAACATAAGTGACACATCGCATCTAAGTACAACACCAGTTTTAGAAAATAATTCTCCATCGCGTATAGATTATTTATCTTCACCGATATCATTTTTATCTACACCAATATCATTTTTATCCACACCGATTAGAGAACGTCCAGAAGAACCAATTTATTCCAAACATTTCTATAATTCCTTGAAAAAGTGAATATTAGATCATATATTATAAGAACTATATTTTTTAAATTATGAATTTTACATTCTTCTACAAAGTTATACAAAAAAATAATAACTACAATTATGTAATTTATATTACAAAATACTCACATTATATTAAATATATGGTAAAGATCAACTAATAAAGATTAGTGTTAGTGTGCTTTCGTTTGTTAGTATCATCTAACTTGTATATTGCTAGCACCAAGGTGTTTTCCTACTATCATCTCATGCTGCATTCAATATTAGGTTTCTAGCCGTAACACGTAGTGGCACTAATGTGGGAAACTGTTATTATAAAGATATAATTTTTATAACGATGAAATTGTGTATATAAAATTTTATTTATAGATTTTATACAAATATCCGTCAACACTTTAACAGAATAAATAAAAGCTTCTAATTAAATAAACAACAATCTTATTGCAATTATTGGACTTAATGATACAGGGATTTAGAAATAATTGAAAAAATGTATAAATGAATCATTGAAATCATTTTGTTTCTTGTGAAAAATAAGTTGAACATTTCCGTGTTTTATAGACCCATGACTGATATGTACACTGTAATGGGACCTACTCCTGCACACTTTTCTGACTTCCTAAGCTGGCACGAACATCCCCGCCATTTTACTACACATTCCATCTGCAGTGGATCCTGTTTGAGTAGTGAATCATCAGCCAATCAAAGCAAAGAAAATTTCTACACCGACCTTTGCTAATGAATCAAGCTGCAGTCTGGTGGTGTACTTGAGTAAGTCTCATTACTGTACTATAACGGATTGAAAAAATGCACGATAACCTATACTTGTCAAATGAATTCTATTATTAATAAATAATATAGAAGTGGTGAAATTGGTGATTAAATTAGTACAGAATAATGGGTTCGTAATTTAACATCTTAATTATTACATCTTCACTATTACTTGCACAATTAAATGGTTTATGCGAATATTATCCAATTTGACAAGTGTTATCACAATGACAGAAAGCTAAAAAACGATTATCTCTNTATCTCTCTTTCAAAATTTAACTTCAAAATAGTTAAGGGGCGAATTGCCTAGTTAATTCCTAAAGCTATATCCAGATATTGTTATAAAATAGTATGCATATATTTCACTATTGTAGATTCAAATATAAAATTATGTCAAGGGAAAGATATTTTCGAAAGGATGAATTATCTTTATCAGGTAATTTTGATTACAACAAATTTTATATTTCATATTTTATTATTGTAATTATGGAATACAAATTTTTTCAGGCAAGTTACCTAATGGCATTAAAAAATAGAGTAGCAGCTTCATGTTATGGTAACATGATGGTAGGGTGTGCAAAAAAATCTGTATTACGAATGTGAGTCTTAATAATCATGTTATTTAAAATATTTCGATAAAATAAGTTCATATTACTCATCACTAAAGGATGCGAAAAGTTTTTGTATTGAAATTATAATTTAAAAGATTTCCTAACTTATACAATATCTTTGTATGAATATAATAATTGTAGGAAAGTAAGTATTAATGATGACAGTACTTCTAAAACACTGTCATATTTCTTTTATAATCAATATGCAATATTTTTTTATTCTCTATAAAATAAGTGTATTTCATATTACTGTTTATTAATCTTCTTTAGAGAATCTGATATTAAGAAAACAATTTGTAAATGCTGCCAGTCTCCACTTATACCTGGTGAAACAGCCAAAGTACGGTTGATGTCAAAGCCTGTAAAAGGAGTGAAGTGGACATGTCTAATTTGTTTAAGTGTGAAAAAGTATCCCACAAAGAAGGGTCATAAATTATGGACAGAACAGGATAATTCGGTAGTTCAAGTTTTTAATTATGCTCCAAAATGAAAAGCAAATGTTAAGATAAAGGCGAGCTCTTCGGTAAAAGGTAAATGTGTTCATCTTGAAGAAAACTAAATGAATACACAGAATTGGATATTTATTTCCACATGATGTTAGATGTGATGTATGTTGATGTATGAATACTTTTTTCAATGATTTACATAAAATATGGTACAATAAATTTATAATCAATAAACATATGGACTGGAATATTCATAACCACCTAATAAAGTTGTGATACTGATATTAGTTTTACATTAAATGTTCATAGACATAACATGATCATAGTTAAGTTATTGTTTTCCTTCGGGTACATGATATATTATGATTAGAACCGTTTGCAGTCAATTTTTCAGACCCCAATGCGCATACTTCGTTGAGGACGGTTTAGATGATGAGAAATGAAGTGGCCCGTACAAAGAATGTGTTTATGTTCTCGCAGAACACGAAAACTGAATGCAAACGATTCCATTTTAACTAGCTATGATATGACTATATCCGCCCATCGCTAATATCTTGTACGAAATCTCAAATGCAAGTCAACAATCACATACATACGCGGGCGTAATCAAATCACAGTTTTATCGGATAAAAATCAGTTCTTTAACACTAACTTAAATAAATATCTAACGGATAATATTGTAAATAACATTTATACGCGAACGTATGATATATGCTGATATTTCGCTTCGAATTCTTCTTAGTATGAGTATCTTCAAGGCAGAGATTGAAATATGTCTCAAGAATGAGCCTATGTTGATCCTTGAATATTTCTTTCAGAGCAGAATGAAATTAAAAGATATTTATAATTTACTATCCCCAATAAGTACTTTGCTCCCAATTTGTTACGATTTTTTGTCAAAGTTACCTAAATTAAAACGATACATATCCCATTGTAGCCTTCACCCTTTAGATCGTTTTTAACTACAATTATTTTTTATTACTTATTAATATTTTTGTGCAATCATTCGTATTTTTTTCTCAAAAGTATAGTAAACGCCCTCACTTTTTCGTTAGACTAATTGTAAGTATTAATATTTATTTGTTTCCTAATTTTCTTTTTATATTTTCCCACTTTATTTATTTATTTTTTATGTTACCTTTCTTGGTATTATTGTTATTCATACGATTACTATAACAAGTATTATTATTTAAAGTTAAATTATCTACACATAATGAACAAACAAAATATACAATTTTTTGTCACACTCAAATCGCATCGGTTAAAATCAAATTCGAATTTACATATTCTTATAATGGAACTTCAATATCAACGATTAAATTCTCAACTTGAACTTGTACTTTTAACACCTAGATCATAATCATGACACAACGCAATAACTACTACGAACGAAATATTCTGCTCTGACCAAGAATGATACTTTCAAAAGAACAATATAGCCCTCTGTATTGTTTTAATAAAATTTATCAGATTCGTAACAGAATTTCTTTCGAACATTTTCATGAACCGTTCTGGCAGGAACATAGTGTTTTCAAAACAATTTCAAACCCTGCTTCAAGAGTATGAGCTCGTTCGTTACTTATAATTTTACCTACAGGCATTCCTCTTGTTCGTGTACAGAGTAATGACGCTATAAGTAGTACGTTCTCCCATTTTCCATATGTAAAACGTACGCAAGGTGTATAAATATTAAACTAGTGAGGAAGTAATGAAAAAACGGCGCTGGACGGAGTCTAAACATTCACTTATATACATATATCTGCCGTGCCAAGTTTCGGTCGTTTAAGCTATTTCACAGTGTCTATCATCTAGCGATTTTGATTTTTCTAGTGATGAATCTAACGATTAAATAATTAAATGGGACCACAGGTTGGCAACGCACACATATATACATGCACACACCAGCTACAGGGAAATATTTATTCCAATAATATTGACTGTCATCCGTCGTTACGCTTCGTTTAATATTCCTTGCAGTAGGATTCAAACTGAATTAACAAATGGTCGGAGGCTTCTCTAGTTAATTCGGAAAAATTCTCGCTCATCTTGTACACGCGTCTACTCGCAGACAAACCTAACAATATTATTCGATTATTGTCGAGAAGGTGTGTGCATGCGAGTGTCTTTTTCTTTCAAAAAGGCGCGTGCTACGGATAGAGCCGGGAATGAAGATGTACAACTTATGCGGATGAAGTTATACATTGATTAAAAAATGGACTTGGCGGAAAATTTAATTTATACTAATCCTGAAACGAACTGGGGTTGGCCATCGCGATCGAGCGTAAGTTGTGGTATTGCATTCGAAGATGGCTGGAATGTTGATCCTTGGAAACCCATTGCAGATTCATAAAGCTACAATGTAATCAACATTATTTTAAATAGCCACCGTATTTGGTGCAAATCATTGATATTGATTTACTATGTTGAAAACTCTCCACAGTTTCGATTATATTATAGATAGACCGGTTAGTTAATTTACATACATTGTGATTTCCTGGCAATGTTGTATAATCAGGTGTTGTTGGACAGTGCCTACTGGTAGGCAATGGACGTTGTATAGTAGCATAAGTATTATCCTGAGATGTATCACCCATACCAATGCTGACACCACTTCCGCGTCTCTCTGTAACTAGACCACCTTCAGGTTCACTGAACACCTGCATCGTTAACTCCTGTTCCTCGTATGGTTTAAGTTTCCTACAAACACGAAGATAGTACTGAATATCCATCACAAATAACAGTACTAGAATCTATCCATTATATCATCCCTTTTTGAAAGGTAACTAATTACTTACTGTTCAATCCATAAAGGATTCTCTGTGGTATTTAACTCGTCAATAATTTGTTTCTTTATTAAGCCATCTTTTTTTCTTATATCGCTTGGCACAGTAATTACCCTGGAACAATATTTTATATTGTATTTTATATCGTATCATTAAATAACTTCTTTAGCACTTACCAATGACGTAGACAGCAACAAACTACTGTCACCGTAACAGCACCAACTAGTAGTACTACTAATAGGGCTATTAAGGCTGCTAATGCAGGATCAAAAGGTTCTTCCTGTACTCCAGCATAAGCAGGCTGAAAAACGATAAAGTTTTGTAGTAAAAATATTATCATATCTCTTAATATAAATATTAATAGGAGATCACGATATCCCTTACAATATTATTGTATTTCTTAATGTACGCATTAAATACTTACAACGACATTTACAATGGTAAAGCCTGCATAATAGTCTTTTAAGAAGTCATATTTTGCATCAATGACTTTAAGCACTTGTGGAACTGGTGCAATGGTTTGGGATTTCGGTTCCACAACGTGCAAATACATGTCACACCTGTGTAACACATTTAAATGTTTTATAAATTTCGAATATTTTAATATCATTGGAAAGGAAATTAACTAGAAGAAATAGTGTTTTTTACCATTCTCGACGAATGTGTCCGGATGCATCCACGTGGTATCGAATTTCGTCAACAACAACTCTGCTTTGTGTTGCGTTTGATAATGCCGATACAATTTCGTCACGTTCGCGATTTACTTCGCCCGGTGGTCGCGACGCGATAACTTTTATCAATTGAGAAGGCTCGAATACCCAAACCTTTGTAATAATAAAAAGTGGATTTATATGATGAATAGCTTTGAAATTTTTTAATGTTTGTTTCCACAAGACTCTGACATATAAGTAAAACACTTACGTGGACTCTAGTCATCGCGTATCTTTCTGGAATAGCGGTCTCTTTCGCTATCACCTCGACAATAAATCTGTCCTGATTATATTCAGCCATGTATCCGCTTGTTACAAGTTTACCGTCCTGAGTCACATTAAACGGACTTGGTACTATGGAACCACTAGGCTTCACCGATTCAAACTTATACAGATTAGCGCTGGTAACGTAATAATGGAGCGTTCCATTGTCACCAACGTCTAAATCGGATGCGGTTACTTTTGTCACGAAATCGTTCACATTTGCCATCGAATTAACACCAGCGTAGTAATCGTTACGCTCGAAGATCGGTGGATTATCGTTTTCATCCAGGATCGTTATAGTTACATTAACGTGGCCATGATCCGTGGTTTGGGACACTGGACGTCCAGCATCTATTGGGTTTATGTAAATGTCAGGATCATTGGATGCCAGAACCGACAAAACATATTTGTCTCGTGTCTCACGATCGAACGATTTGTTCGCGTAGATGCTACCGTCGGTTTTGTCTATGTAAAAAGCATAGTCCTCGTTCCCTGAAAATATTTGCGTGATTCTATAAGCTCCGTCTAACAGCGTTATATTTATTCGAACTAATGCTGCTTACCAGCCTCTATGTAATAGTAAACTTTCGCGTGCGTGCCTTCGTCTCTGTCTTTTGCCACCACCTTTCCTACGAAGTACTCTTTCGGACGATTTTCAGATAAATGAAAATGATACTCGTCGTAAAATTGGGGAGCATTATCGTTCGTGTCGACCAACTGCACAGTAAGAAGTCGCAGAGTTTCGTATGCTGTGGGTGTACCATGGTCGGTAGCTACCAGAACAAGCTGAAATTGAATCGAAGTGGAAATTAAGTTTTTTGCGAGAATAAATTATTTTCTAGTATATTTCTCAGAAAAATCCTGAATAAATTAGATGTAACAAAGCGATGCTGTAAATTAAAACGTGCAGATCTACTTTACCTCGAATTTGCTCTTCGCCTCACGATCCAAAAGAATCTTCGATCGCAGTTCACCGGTGTCTTCGTCTATCGAAAACTCTTCTGTCTCTTGAGTATTGTGATTTCCAACTTTCAGATGATAGCTCACGTGTCCATTTTCACCAGGATCTCGATCAATCGCTTTTACCGTTAATATCAAGTAATTTGGTATGCCAGCATTCTAAAGAAAAATCAATTATTGCTCCCTGTTTACTTGGGTAATGCATTCTGTACTGTTTTCTGTCTATTTAAATATTTTTTGTATAAAGGAACGTGCAGTGTTATAATAGCATATTTATTATTATATTTAATTATATTTATATTATATTATATTATATTTTGCATATTTATTATTATATTTAAATTATAAATATATATATATATATTAGTATATAATAAATATGCTACATAAATATATAGCATACTTATTAGTTATTTATCTAAAAACTGTAAAATGTAGCACTTACTTCAGGAACTTCTACAGTAGCGTTTGCTAATTCCGGCAGAACAAATCGAGGTTTGTGTTGATTTACTGGAGTTACTCGTATATCGACGTTACATTCGTCGGAATGAGGACCACTACCAGCACCGTCTCTGGCTTCTACCTTGATCCTATAAGTGCCAGCTCTACCGAGAAGGGCTGCTCCAGGATACAAAATACCAGTTTCACGATTTAATGAAAATGATTCGTTCTCGTTACCACTGATTATAGTGTACCAAACTTCTCCATTAACTCCTTCATCGTGATCTACTGCTCTCACCTTGTAACACAAATATCGTATGTTAGTGATCTAGAGACTGTTTAATTTGTAATCACCCTTCATCCCATAGTTTATTAGTGAACAAAATTGATTTATTACTGTTCGTTCAGTAATTGTGAATAGAATTTTGATAAAATTCGCTAACTTGTAAGATCGGCGCAGGTGGATTGACAGGTAAATTTTCGGCCACGGAAGCTCTGTAACTGTGCTGTGAAAATATCGGTCGATTATCGTTGACGTCGACAAGCTTCACGAGCACTGGAACAGTCGTACTTCGACGAGAGTTTAGATGAGCTCCATCGCTAGCCATTACAGTTATCGTGACTTCGGGTGTCATTTCTCTATCGAGAACAGTTGCACCACCGACGGTAATTTCTCCAGTTTCATGGCCTATAATACGTACGAAGAAATAAAATATATTTGCAAACACTTAATTTTAATCTAATATTGTCCTGTAAACAGACGAACGAACCAGGTAAAGCTAAGAATTAATAATGTTCAAGTAATTACATAACACGTCGTGTGATCGATTAAATATTAAATATTCTCTAATCTGCGATCACTTAGGAAATATTATTCCATAGTTATTCAATTTCGTACGAAACTAGTTTACCTATGTTAAAGTCTGCGGCATGTTCACCAATGAGGCTGTAACTAACTTCTCCGAATAGTCCCTCGTCTCCATCCGTGGCTTTCACTACAGTAACATGTGTCCCGGCTGGCGAATTCTCTTTTACGGAGGCATTGTAAAATTCTTTTTCGAATTTAGGATCTTGGTCGTTGACATTAATTATGGTCACTGTAACTTTTGCCGTTGTTGATAGTTGAGGTACACCAGAGTCGTAAGCAATTACTTGAAATTCCAACTGCTTTGTCTCTTCGTAATCTATTACTTGGCTGGTCCGAACAATCCCTGTGATAATAATAAATATATATAAATAAATATGTGTAATATTTATACAGACGCTTATAAATCTCTATGTATTCGTTGAAATATACAGGTAAAAGATAATGGCGGAAGAAGTTATTTATTTATTTTCTCAAAATGAAATCTTCATCGTCTTTTATGCAGCAGAAAATATTGCTTATTTTTGTTATTTAATTATACGACAAACCTGTGACATTATCTATGTTGAAATAAGGACTTGGAGGATCAATCGCGTATCCTGCTATGTTGCTATCTGCATCCACAGCCGTGAATGCTCCTACAATTGCTCCTGTTGGCTGTTCCTCTTGCATTTCGATTAAATAACGTGGATTTTCTCTTGTCCATGGTTTCAAAAATTCTGGCGCCATGTGATTCACATCAATAATCGTAACCACTAATGTACCTGTTCAACATTGCATGCAAATGTGTAGTACAACTGTCTAGTACAAATATCTCGCCGGGACAATTCGTCTATAAATGGCATGTACCTCTTCCTTGTTGTAATGTGGGTGCCGTTGTATCGCTGACAACTATAGTGATGCTTACTGTTGCCGCAACATCACGGTCCAGAGGTCTGACAACCGAGACTTGACCGGTTGCACGATCGACTGCGAAGAAGTCCTGAAAATATGAACAGGTTATCGATAAAAAGAAATACTTTCACAATAGATCTAATCTTTGTTCTTAACATAAAAATGAATCCACACGATTTAGCCTATTTTTTCATGACAGACACAGACTGAAAAGTTCATTTAAGGTCTATTTATACTAACCATCGGTATATCGAGAAGATTAAGATAATTATTTACGCTAATTGTTATACCTTGAAAGATTTACTGTCGTTGACCTTTTGCCCGTTTCTGTCGATAGCCGTGATCGGTTCCGAAATGGCAAAGTTTAATGCTTCCGAATTATCGCTGTCAGGGTCCGTAGCTTTCAGCGACGTAAAAACAGTGCCAATTAGCGTGTCTTCTGTGACTTCGGCTCGCTGTGTCTCCGGTGTGAAGTACGGAGGCTTGTCGTTGTTATTCACAACGTCAATTAATAACGTAGTGGTCGCAGTTAAGCTGGGCGTTCCTACGATAAACGATCTCTGTGTTTAATATACAGTAATGTCTCCCTTACTGACGCTCGGATTGTCCACTGAAATGGATAATTCGGGAAGAGGAGACACGATTGTTCGAGCCTCGCGGCTCATTTTTATAATCGTGGACAATTTATAACTATACCAATTTATAACAATTTATTACTATATAAAGTAAACCGCAAGGCTCGAATAATCGTATCTTCTCTTCCCAAATTGTCCATTTTTGTGGTCAATCTGGGCGTCAATTAGAGAGATATTACTGTAGATATTTCGAAAAACGATGAACCGAATTTTGAGGATTTGGTATTTGATGCGTTTGATGGTGTACCTACCTTTATCAAGTGCTATTATTTCCACGTGGTATTCGTTCTTATTATCGTAATCCAATTTTCTGAACACAGTCACTATTCCTGTCGTCTCGTTAATAGCGAAGTCGTCTAAAGCTCCTTTCTGTATTCTGTAAATTAGTTCCGCATTGATTCCTGTGTCTGCATCAGTTGCCGTGACTTCCTCCACGAACGTCCCTAAAAAGCATTGGTTTAAGAATGTCCATACATTTTGTTTTCAATTAATTAAAATGATCAAAGGAAGGAACAGCTTTCTACTTGGTTTATATTTCTTGCTGTCGACGTTGAAAACTTTTGTGTTGCACAAATATTTCCAGTCTATCTCGCATTGCCACTTAATTACTTACCGATTGGCGCTATTTCTGGAATGTTGGCCGTGTAGAACTCGTGCAGAAAGACAGGCTCGTTGTTATTTACATCTCGAATTGTAATATTAACTGTGGTGAAGCCAACGAATATCCCGTCGTTCGCTTGAATCTCAAGAGCGATCCAATCACGGCTCGAATTCTTCAGATCTGTTGGACCTTTATTTTTGATCGTAATCTCGCCGGAGTCTTGATCTATAGCGAACAGACCATGATCGCTGCCGTCGACTATAGTGTACGTAATTTTCGACGTTTTGTCTTTATCTCTGGCTTGAACTTTTAGCTCCGGCTCAAATTTCTCAGCACCCTCGTCTATTACCACGCGATATTTATCTTGGAGGAATCGCGGGGGATTGTCGTTGGCATCGGATAAACTAATGCGCAGGGAGACGCTGGTTGTTTGACCTTGTCCGTCATTGTCAGTCGCCTAAATAAACAAAGAATAGAGATTCGATATAATATTTCTGACATATTCGGGCCTTTTGCGATGTTATTTGATAATTACAAGCGAAAATTACTGAGACATTTTGGATAATATAAAAATACAGCTACATTTGTTTGAAGAATTAACGAACAATTCCAGTTAATATACAAAAATAAGTAAAACTATTTAAGCTAGGGCTAAGAATATTTGATCTAGGGCTCGGAATTAACCGGCACGCAACAGCGAGGATCGAGAGGGCTACGCCCCAGAGTTTCGTCTGTCGAGTAATTTGTTATTTAATTTTAATAGAAACTGCAAACACCTTGTACGTGAGGAAGTATTCGGTCTGTTCTTCGTAATCCAAACAAGGTGAAGTTCCAGGTGTCGGACAAGGAGCTATTGAAATGGTCCCAGTCTTCTTGTCCACAGAAAAATGCTGCGCACCTTGTCCAAGTAATTGATAAACTATTCCAGCTGTACCAAATCTAAAATATAATTAATTTAGAAAAACGATTTGAGTAGGCATTATATTAAATAGTTTTAGTTGTGGTGAAGCTTTTGAAAGAGAAGAATAAACTCTATTCCAGCTGTACCAAATCTAAAATACAATTAATTTAGAAAAACGATTTGAGTAGGCATTATATTAAATAGTTTTAGTTGTGGTGAAGCTTTTGAAAGAGAAGAATAAACTCTATTCCAGCTGTACCAAATCTAAAATATAATTAATTTAGAAAAACGATTTGAGTAGGCATTATATTAAATAGTTTTAGTTGTGGTGAAGCTTTTGAAAGAGAAGAATAAACTCTATTCCAGCTGTACCAAATCTAAAATACAATTAATTTAGAAAAACGATTTGAGTAGGCATTATATTAAATAGTTTTAGTTGTGGTGAAGCTTTTGAAAGAGAAGAATAAACTCTATTCCAGCTGTACCAAATCTAAAATACAATTAATTTAGGAAAACGATTCGAGTAGGCATTATATTGAATAGTTTTAGTTGTGGTCAAGCTTTCGAAAGAGAAGCATAAAAACGTGTCTCGCTTCCTCAAAGTACTGAGCTGTAATTTGAAGAACTGTATCTCTGTTTATAATGTCAACGTAAAATTAAGGTAAAATCGCCTACCGTCCACTGTCACGATCTTGAGCAGTGATGGTTATGACAGGTGTGCCTTGTGCTGCAGTCTCCGATACCGTAGCCGTGTAAGTAGGTCTGGCGAAGGATGGCAAGTTATCATTTGCGTCAGTAATTGCAACGGTCACGGTTGCAGTGGATGTAAGCTTGGGATTCGTATGGACCTCTTCTGCAACGACCTGCACAATTTGGGAAATACGTACATTTTCATTTCAATTTACCGAGGCGCGAGCAGTACAAAGACATGGATTCGTTAACACGAAAGAATGAATTAACGAATTTTTAAATATTCGAAATTCATGAATATGATTTGAAAGAAGATCGTGGATTTGGATTGATTAAATATCAAGCAATATTATGGCACATATAAGGAACCAATAATATCGTAATATTATATAATAATATAATATAATATTATTGGTTTATATATTATATATATATTACTTATATATATATTTATATTATATAATAATATAATATAGTAATCACATAAAATTGTAATAAACATAGTAAAATTGTTGGTCTATGTTTTCGAATCCTATACTCTTTCTTGCAGTTTTGTAAGTTAAGATTCCAAATTAAAAAAAGAAAAAAAAACAGTGAGAGAAATGCGCAAGTGTACCAGGATAATAAATTTCCGTTGGTTTGGATTCTCATAATCGAGCGAGCCATTTGCAACACGAATGTTCACGGACGTGCTGCCGGTCGCCATGGTCGGTTCGATGGTAAATGCTCCATCCGTAATGTCTTCCAGTCGCAAAGAGAATACGGAATTCAGGCCCTGTAATATATATGATGTAATGTTACGAAGTTTTTCTAGTAAAATTATAGGGTAAAGTATGCATTTCATAGTTAACGACCTAATAACAGATCAGACATTTTAAAATTGCATTTATTTGTAATTTGCAATTTGTAATTTGCAATTTGCAATTTGTAATTTGTAATTTGTGATCTGCAATCTGTTATTTGCAATTTGTAATCTGCAATTTGTAATTTGTAATCTGCAATCTGTTATTTGTAATTTATAGTTTGTAATCTGTAATCTGTAATCTGTAATCTGTAAATTGTAAAACCTACGACATCAGGATCTTCAACAGTCATATCCAAATGCGGCAAAGGCGTCCCATTCGGTACGTTCTCTGGAATTTCGATGTTGTACTCGCGGCGATTAAATGTTGGAGGCTCGTCGTTGACATCCTTTATCGTCACCGTGGCTTCTGCCGTTGAAACCGTCAAATTGTCGCTGCCTGGCATTCCATCGATCAATTCTCGTGCTTTTACCTTCAATGTGAGCACTCCAGTCGAGTCCTTCAATGCTTCCCTATTCAATGGTTTCGCTGTCCTCAGTTCGCCCGTTTCGTCATCCAACAGGAAATAATCGAACGGGTCTAGGAATGATTATCATCGATATCGTTAGCATTTCACGGGGATTTTATACAAGTTATTGATTATCAACGGTTCTAAATTAAATTAAAATAGTTACTCAATGGTGTTTGAAGGTATTTCTAAAAGATATTTCAAGATTTCGGTCGAAGAATCCCCGAAGAATCGAGAACGAAAAAGCCCAAAGAATCGCTGTAGAATCGAGAAAGGAAAAGCCCCAAGAGTTCTAAATAAAAAAAGGGTGCGACGTTTACTCACTGGTGACCAATTCGTAGATCATTTTTCTCGGCATTCCCCTGTCGCCGTCCCGGGCTTTGATGGTCATAACCAGTGTTCCAATGGGATCGTCTTCGCGCACCACGCCGGTCAGGGAGTCCAGAAATTCCGGCGGGCTGTTCTGAATGTCGGCCACCTTGATTTCGACTCCCGTGGTTTCATTGTTCAAGCCATCCTGCGAGCAAAATTCGTACGGTCCAAAAGTGACTTTCCTAGCCTGACCCCGAGTTATCTTTCTACGACTCTGATGAACGGGCCGGGCCGCCCGTTGTGCAGCCGCGTCGGTCATTTCTGGAGCACACGGATTTCTGGGCACGATCTCGCAAATTAAACAGGGGACACGAATTCGATGCGGAACGTTACAGAAACGCGGAACAATTCCTCGCGAAAGTTCGGCTAGAAGTGGTACGAAAATTATTCGATCCGCAGATCCTTCATCCCCTATTATTTTAGAATGATAATTATATGATATATAATATAATTGTATAATATTATAAATATATTAATAATTGTATTATTATACTTCAAAATTAATATTATTATATATTTATTGCGCGGTCTTTAGCTTTTGCTAGTCAAAGCTTTTGCTAGCTTTGCTATCTTAGAATTAATTTGCTGCTATTAATTAACGTCATTATTATTATCATTATTGTATGTATTTTCGAAATACATTTAATACTCTCTGATAAGGAGCGCTTAAATATGGATGAAACAGCTTCGAGCGATTAACGTTAAACTGTGCGAAGATCATTGCCCCTTATGAGTGACTTTTTATCTTCAGGATGTATCTGTGATGTATCATAATTAAAATTACATTGAAAACTGTATACTCACGCTCGCTCTGAGCAGTAATTGGTAAAAGGGTCTCTCCCTGTAGTCGAGTGGCTGTCGCAGGACCAGTGCACCAACGTACGAGTTTTGGCTTTTCTCCACCTTGACGATGCCGAATTTGTCGCAGGCATCGAGAAACTGTAAAGAAAACCAGAATTATTTCCCGTGTAATTAATATTAAATTAATATTACACACTATAGGATGTGTCCTTGTATTCTGTAATGTTGGTTGGAAAATTTGGCAGGAGGAGATACGATTATTATTAATCCTTTAATTTACGAAGAATTTATCGAACGCATTCGTTACTTGCGACAAATATTGCGATTAGGATCGCTGATAGAAACCAAATAAATACATTATATATATATTATATATTATATTTATTATATAAGATAATTATATAATATTTAATATATATATAAAATTATATTATACATGTATAATATAGTTGCCTTGAACGTTCCATAAACTTAGCGTCGACCACCCAGCGTGCGCCCTTATACAATTACAAACGGAGGTGCATGTAAAATAAGAACATAAAGCACCAAGGTGTTCCCCTCGCTCTCGATTCGGCTTAAATGACCATTGTAAAAGAAAAAAAAAGGAAAGAAAGAAATAGTAGTAAAAAGCCGCGCGATTTTATCATCGCGATTTTACATCGGGGAACAAATTAAATTGGAGCGCGCCGCGGCTGATTGAATCCTTCGCGATCGGCGCGGCGATCTTCAGGACGAGGTTTTAATCAAATGTGCAAATTCTGTCGAAAATTCGAAATCCTGTCCGGCAATTGGATATAACGAGGCGTGCCAGGAATAAACGATAGATATCGATCAAACATGCATATTCACGCAATATCCGAGAGATCTCTTCTTCCGCCGGTTCATTTATTTATTCGTCCCTCTATATCGATTATCGGATTTTCCTTCGACCTATCGCTAATAGACCATTTCCCGGGCGAAAGTAAACTTTTTAGCGCAGTCACAATTTTCGATATTGCGAGAGTGGATGTGCCACGGGAAGGACGCTCTTTCTTTCGTGCGAGATATCGAACCGAAAGACTGTTCTACTTTTACTCGATGCCATTGAGATGGTCGATTATTCTTTCTATGACGAGTATACTCGTCGTAACAAAAGTGCTGCCATTTTTCTATGACGAGTATACTCGTCGTGACAAAAGTGCTGCCATTTCTCTATGCCGAGTATACTCGTCCTGACCCACAAAATGTCGCCACTTCTCTATGACGAGTATACTCGCCCTGACCCACAAAATGTCACCACTTCTCTATGACGAGTATACTCGTCTTGACCCACAAAATGTCACCACTTTTCTACGACGAGTATACTCGTCTTGACCCACAAAATGTCGCCACTTCTCTATGACGAGTATACTCGTCCTGACCCACAAAATACAGCAACCTCTTCATGACGAGTATACTCGTCGCGACACGAAACACCGTCGCTTCTCCGTGACGAGTATACTCGTCGAACCCAGCTAAAAACCACCGCGTCGCCGTGTTTTTCGCGTCGCGAAACAATCCGATTTCGCGTCGTAAAATGCGATTTCCTTGGTCGTTCCGAAATTTCGCAAGAACCCGGAGATATTCCCATCGCGTCAGGTTCCGTGATTACGGTGGCGGTTCAATATCGCTCGACGATTTACGGTGCATACGCAGCCTGAACCATTTATATATCG